AAAAAAAAAAAAAAAAAAAAAAAAAAAAAAAAAAAAAAAAAAAACGGGGAACGCGGGCTCCGTGAGGGGATGGCGGCGGCCAGACGGGCGAGCAGGAGGCGGCGGCGGCGGCGGCTGCGCGGCCGCGCAGGCAGGCGAGCAGCGCGCGCTGCAGGCAGAGCAGGGCGCGCACCAGCGCATGCAGCGCGCGCCACGCCAGCCCGCCCGCCCCGCTCATGGGACCGACCGACAGGAGCGCGCGGGAGGTGCCTCAGCCGCGGCGCGTCGCCCGCCTCGCCGCCGCCATCCCCTCACGGAGCCCGCGTTCCCCGCCCGGCAACCGCCCGCGCCGCCATCTTCCGGCCGCCCCGCCTGCTCTTTCACCTCTCGACCCGCCACACGCGAGGCGCCCGTTGGCCGCCGGGCGCGCTAACGTCATTTCCGCCTGCGGAGCGTGAATTACGTGGCCGCGAGGGAGGGAGGGGGCGGGGCCAGGAGAGGAGGCGGGGCCGGGAACGGCCCGGGGCGGGGCGGCCCCGGGAGGGGGCGCGGCTGGGGCAGGGCCGCGCCCCCTGGCGGGCGCTGCGACAGTGGCCCCGCAGGTACCGGGGGCGGGGGAAGAGGGGGTGGCGGTGTGGGGGCGGTGGGCGTGGGTTCGCGCTGGCCTCTGCCCGGCTCTTGACCATTCCTCGGGTCGGGCCGCAACGCTGTCCAGTCTCCCGGCTGCTTCAGGGGCCCGTTCCTCTGTCCAAACACAGCCTTGGTCTTCCTGGCGCCCGCAGCGCCGGCGTGTGAAGCGAAGGTGGGGAACACATCCGAACGCCGGAGGAGCGGCCGCGTCTCATGGGTGTCTTTACTAAACAACACGTTTCAGCGTCAGAGCGTCCTGCGAATGCTCACTGGGTGATTCTGCAGCACGGGCGTGGGAAACGGGGGCGGCGCAGCCCCCGAACCTCGGGGAGTGTGCCCCTGCAGCGGCCGGGACCCACGTTTTGCAGTCTCCCGCAAAACCTGCAGTTCCCGGGTTTTTGCTGCCTCACTAGGAGGTACCTTGTGAGGTAGCAAACTACCTGGTCTTGTGACGGCCCAAAGGTCCGAACATGGAAACGCCGCTGCAGGCGAAAGGTAGAGCAAGAGCTAACAAGCCAGGCGGGTGCTCTCAGGCACATAGGTGGGCTGAAATGACACAGTGAGATATTTAAACACTCCATTGAAAGAATCCGCCAATGTAAAATTAAATGAAAAATTGCGTATCAGGAAAATATTTTTCTTGCTAAGAAAATAGCTACTTCCCAGTCTTTTAATACAGACCAGCATTAGCCAGCAAAAATGACACAGTCAAACCACAAGAAAGGCTTGTGCTGTTCCATAAATATCTGGACACTTAGCTACCAAAAATGTGGGTGACTGACAGTATAATCATAGAATCATTGAGGTTGGAAAAGACCTCTAAGATCATCAACTCCCAACTGTTAACCCAGCACTGCCAAGTTCACCGCTAAACCATACCCTTAAGTGCCGCATCAACATGTCTTTTGAACACTTTCAGGGGTGGTGATTCCACGACTTCCCTAGAAAGTTGTTCCAATGCTTGACAATGCCTTCCATGCAGAAATTTCTCCTAATATCCAATTTAAACCTCCCCATGCGCCGCTTGAGGCCATTTTCTCTGGTCCTGTCACTTGTTTCCCTGGGAGAAGTAACCAACCCCAACCTTCTACAACCTTGCTTCAAGTATTTGTAGAGAGGATAAGGTCCCCCCTGAGCCTCCTGCAGGCTAAACTGCCCCAGCTCCCTCAGCTGCTCCTCATATGAGTTACTCTCTAGACCCTTCACCAGCTTTGTTGCCCTTGTCTGGACCAACTCCAGCACCTCAACATCTTTTGCATAGTGAGGGGCCCAGAACTGGACACAGGACTCAAGGTGCGGCCTCACCAGTGCCAAAAACAGGGGAAGAATCACTGCCCTGCTCCGGCTGGCCACACTATTTTGAATACAAGCCTGGATGCCATTGGCCTTCTTGGCCACCTGGGCACACTACTGGCTCATATTTAGCTGGCTGTTGACCAGCACCCCCAGGTCCTTTCCCGCTGGTCAGTTTTCCAGCCACTCTTCCCCCAGCATGGTGGTGGTGTGATCCAAGGGCAGGACCTGGCACTTTGTCTTGTTCAATCTCATACAGTTGGCCTTGGCCCATTGGTCCAGCCTGTCCAGATCCCTCTGTAGAGCCTGATGATATGTAAAGGTAAAGAAAAATGAGTTTAGGTCTTTCTGTTCCAGTTGCATAGCTTAGTGTGTCCAGTTGCACAGCTTAAGAAACCCAAGTGTCAGTTGCATTTGCATAGGTAACATAACCAAATAGCTGTGCTCTAACACCTGACAAATCAGCCTCTGTGGAGGTGAGTGATTACTCAGTTACTGAACGCCAACAGAAGATAAAAAATAATAGAAACTGTTTGCTTTGAAAAGTAATTTGCTGATGTAATTACTCCTCAGTTATCACCTGAAATCATGAACTGCCAGGAAACCCTTTAGGTTACTGTTTGTAAGTCACTTCTTTTAGTGGACTCAGTAATCCAGTTTTGTTTAATTTTCATGCACTTTGGGAACTGCTTGATAAAATTTGCGCATGCATCAGAGTTAATGCATATACCATTAAGTAATTTCTTTGTGTGTGTATGCAAAAGTCTGGAAAGTTCCTGCCAGTGAAGGGGGACACTTGCAGTGTGTATTTGCACATTAAATACACCTAACCCAAAAGCGTACACACAGCATCTTAAGCTATATTGTAACCAATTAGCTATTCAGATATCAAAATAAACTCTTACAAAAATTCACCTCACTTGATCTTATCCTAATATTTGCCAGAGGTAGAGATCTATTTCCTGAGAATCTTTCTTCTTTTGTTTACAACAATTGAATAAGGTCAGCTTTACCCCACAGTTTTCAGTCCTCACTATTAATAAACTTTGGAACTAATATTAAATCTTATTAACCAGGACAGTGATTCTTTGTTTATTTCATTTGCTGTGATGAAGATTCTGTGCTTTGCCTGGAGCTCAACTAATTTTGTCTAACGTCATTTAAAATAGTCTCAAATAAATGAGGCAAATGTTACAGAAAAACTGAAATTGGTTTCTCAAAAGCAAGAATTTCTGAACAATCCCGAGAAATTTTTCACATCAGTGTAACTCTCCATCTCAAACTGCAAATCCGTGAGTTTAAATGTGTTGAATACCAGATTCCCAGTAATAGCATCTTGTGGTATTGCAAGATTTTATTTGTGGGGGTTTTATGCAATTATAAGAATGTTCTACTATAAAAAGGCCCATACAGAGTTACAGGCTGCTTTTCTAAGAGATGGTATTTGTATTCTTACTTCCCTCAAACTACATAGTACTAATGGCATAGATAAACAAATAATTTTTTTTACAATATGCAGTTCACAATGGCATCCTTACTACAGACCTTCTCTCACCAGTTATTACCTCTTATAGTACAAATAAAAGAGGAAAACTAATGACAGATGAGAAGGCTTCTTGCCAGTAGAGACACTGGTGGCAGTGGGCAGCTCTAGACAGCTTCAAGGTTCAGTACAGATAAACCATGGGGTTAATCTAATTCATAATCATAGTAATCATCGTCCGTGTTTACTCCAATGCTGGAGGTCTCATTGGATTTAATTTTCTTTCTATCCTCTTTGTCTGTTTCCATGGAAGATGGATTGCCTTCACACTGCTGCAGAATCTTCTTGGAAGACATCCAACTTTCTCCTCGGCTTTCTGCTGGCGCTGCACACTGCCCTCCCTGGACATCCGTTCCTTTGGCCACCAGCGCTCTTCTGGTTCTGAGAAGGTCACAGGTGCAGTTCCAAGGGTTTCCGTCTAAATACAGATGACGAAGACGAGGTAAATACTCCAAGACTTTGCGATCCAAGGCAGATATCTTGTTATTCCGTAAATTTAAAACCTGAAGCTGTTTCAAGTCCTTCAGCTCTTGTTCTCCAACATCCTCTATGCCATTTCCTTTTAGATCCAATCTGGCAAGGGTGTCTGGAAGTCTGAATAAAAATAAAACAACACAAAGGTGTTATGTTCATCATATTGTTTCTGTTTCTGTAAGTGGCATTTGCTGATGGTTACATTTCCAGTCATGTCTGATGTACTAAAATAAAACTATCACTAAAAAATGCAATCTTCTGCAATAAAAGATGTTCATGTTGAATTGTGAGTTTTGGGAGTTTTTTGTTTGTTTATTTATTTATTTGTGGATTTTGTTTGGTTTTATAAGTTATAGCTATACTGTCTGTGTACCCTTGAACTCTTTTCCCAAATTACTGCAGTTCTGACCTGTACTGACTGTGTTTGTGCAGCTGAACTAAACAGCAGCCTTGCTGTGCTCTACTATGAAGAAAATTATGTTTGAGTGTCAAGCTTAAAAATGCATTTTGTACTCTTCAATGCCATAAGCGTGCCAATGACCAAATTATAGCACCATGAAAGATCAAAATTTAGAGAATCATGGCAATGCTGCTCTTTTAAGTACTTCTATATATGATTTGTTTAAAAAGCTCTTTTAATTCATAAAGAACTAGAATTTTTCTTCTCTTTTGTTCTCCTGCTCCCATAAGACTCAAACATTAATCATCACAGCAGTAGTCCATCTGATGATATCCTGTTAATAAATCTGCAACAGGGAAAATACAAGTGCTTCTTGATGGTCTTTTTAAATAGTACTTTGGAGAATTAGAACTGGTTACATTTAAAAGAAAAAAAAAGCTGATAATCTCTGGACAGGATACTAGACAGGTTAGTAGAATTCTTATTTTCATACATATTACAATTTTTTATGATAAGACTATTATTTCAAAAGTCTTGCTCATTTATGACCTAATTTTCTTCTGCTGTAGTTAGTGATAAGTGCTTAACAGAAAAGCCACTTAATTGATATGGAATATCTTTAATAAAATTTATTTGAAAGTATCTTAAAAATCACTTTCGTATGGTAGTATGCAAGGTGGTGAAATTAAAAGTCATAGTTAGAGATTTTAAGGAAACTTATTGACTGAAACTCTCAGGGAAATTATAAATAATACTACCAAGACCTATTTATAATAGAAACAGCAGTATACCGCAACTGGTATAGGTTCATGTGATAGTTTCTCTCAATGTAATAATATGAAATACCTTTGAAAATGACTAAGAGGGCAATTGTGACCCTCACCAACTGTTTTTTGTGAAGCTGAGTTTGACCTCTTAAGCTGAAAAATGGTTCCCAAATTTATGAAAATCTGACACGTTCAATAGTACTATTTCAAGAGTAGTGCAGTTCTTTATTGTGCGATATTTCTAGTGGAGATAAGAATTTCATGTGTTGATACAGTGATTCACTCCACAAAATTTGATCTTACCAAATGCTTGTGCCTGCAATAAATCTGTTTTGAAACCTAACCACAGGCAATGACTATATTTGCTCAATATGACACTATAATGTCAGAAGGGTACTCTGGGGCACCCAGAGAGCCACTAATGTCAAGGGCAGTGGGAAATCACCCGAGATGTTTATCCATACTGATTACAGTCCAAAGCCTGACCAGCAAGTCTTTAAACCTGTTAAGAGTCCTATTGTACTAGTGTTAGACTTGGGCTTCGTGGCCGTGTTATTTGACGTGAGGCTGTGTAGATCTTGAGAAAATAATGTCACTGGAGTACACAATGACTGACCCTGCTGCTAGAAGAGGAGCTGTGCTCACTCAGGAGCTGACCTTGGCAGCCACAATGTGCTACTACCACTTTAGGGCACATCATCAGACTCTTCCCCACACTTGCACCACTCCCTGCAAGATTTTACAAAGTACAGACTCTTCTCTAAAAGTCCTGAAAATACTTGGACTTGTGGATTATTTTCTTCTCAGAAAAGAAACAAAAGAAGATTTCTTTGTCCTCATTCCTGCCAAAAAAATGCTAGGACCTATTCACTTTAGCATATTATCCATATTTTTTAGCCTTTTACAGTGGTGACTGTTCTCAGATAGCTGTCAAAAGTAATACTTTTATTTCTGTATATCCATTCATACCTGGTCATCATCAGACAAATAAAATTAAGTACATAAATTTTACATCTTGTCATTTTTTCCCCTCTTATGTGTTTACAGCCCTCCCTGGAAATCTCTATTCATTGTTGGATTGAAAATAAAAGCCTCCAATACCTCCTGAAAAGTTGTACTGTTTAAAGACTAATAGAGAACTCCTTCCTGTTAATTCTCTTCACTGCGAAGGTTGTAAAGTAAGATGGATTAGACAATACTAAAGTAACTAGAAAGCATTAAACATTTCTGTCAAGCTAGGTCAAATCAAATATTTATACACCACTAAATCACTTTCTGATTATAAAGTTGCTGCCAAATAGATTCAAATGCTAAAGGACCTTACACTAAACGAATTGAAATTTTACTGCATTATTTATTTGGGCTAGTTAAACCTGTCCACAAGCCATAAAAATAAAGTTTTACAGTGCAGTTTTGTTAAAGACGTTGATGTTAATGGAATTACTTTGCTATTTTTGTGCCATCTTATTGCACAGCTTTTTGTAATAATAAAATTGCCACTTTATATCAGAGCAACCTCCATTTGGCTTCATATGCTGTCTCTAATAATGGCCACGACCACACTTAGATGAATGTGAGACATCCTCTAAGCAGGGCATTAATGAACACAGTGTGCCCAAGGGATGTTCCTTCTATGCTGTTTTGACTGGAATTTTGCTTATAGCCTGAAGCTGGAGATTTCATACCTCGTAATGTGTGAATTTAATGAAGTTAGGAATGCTGTTATCACTGAAAGAGCACATTCTTTTTGACCAGACTCAGTTCCTGAAATCTTAATATTTTAACAGTAATAAACTCAGCATGGATTGGTAGAAACATCAGCTTTAAAATTGCTATAGTTCCTTTTTATCAAATGCTCTATTAATTTTCTTTTGTAGAGGAAGGTAAATCTAAGTAACAGCACAACTTCTGTTGCATTTTCCTAGCAGGTTCATCTTATTCATGTACTAATTAAACAAAGTGGTCTCACTGGCAGGAAGAGATGTGAAATGAGCAGATTCACTGGGGACCACAGATGTAATGAAAACAGCTCTACTTCTATTCTAAGACTGCTAACAGGAGTGCTAATTAGTGCTAGTTATGGCAGTTGGTTTATGCTATGGATAGACTTCTACCATGACTGGGGCTGAATACCAATTTTTGGCTCTTATAATTCCAGGAAGGAGAGATGACACCTTGGAACCAGCTGCACTCAGATTCACTTGCCTCAGCGGAATAGAAATGAGGAGATTCTGTTCCAGCGCCAGATTTGAAAGCTGTGCACACTGTTGAAGAGCTCCCGCCTCAAACATGCTCATAGCGTTGTTGTCGAGAAACAGGTGCTTGAGGTCTTGTAGTCCTTGGAAGTCCTGGGCTGTCACCTTTTGAATCAGGTTATTGCTGCAGTCGAGTTTCTGCAGTCTGCCAGGCAGCCTGAATGGCATAGTGTGGAGCTGGTTCTTAGAGAGCTCCAGTGTTGTTAAGTTAGGAAGAAGCTGGGCACCATCTATTGATGTTAGCTGATTTTCTGACAGGAAGAACTCAGACAGGTTTTCTAGATGTTTCATGTCTCGAAGTCTCACAATTTTAAGTTGGTTTTTCTCTAAATTCAGTGACAGCAGGGATCTAGGTAGGTCAAGAGGCACTTTTGTCAGAAAGTTTCCACTTAAACTGAGAAACTGTAGATTTTGAAAAGATGCAAAGAAGTTGGTTGGGAATGAATTCAGTTTATTATCAGCCATGCTTAGATACTTCAGCCTAGGAAGCTTAAATGGTGCAGACACGGATTCCATGTTGTTGCCATCCAGGGTCAGACTTTGTAAATTGCAAAGGGAAGAAAATGCACTTGGAAGCAGAGTTGCAATCAAGTTGTTCCGAATATCGAGCACCCTTAGTTTCATCAAACCTGCAAAATCAGTTGCATGCAGAGTGTTGATGGAGTTATCAGCGAGTTTTAAAATTTCAAGGCCAGATGGGAGAAAGGTGGGTATTTGCTTTAGCTGATTTTTGCAGAGTTCCAGGGACTTCAAGGTGCTCAGAGCTTTGAAAGTGTTGTTTTCTATTGATTCTGTGCCACTGCATGACAAGACCAGCTCTTCAAGGACAGACATTCTCCTGAAGTCAGTAAACTTAAAGAGAAAAAAAAAATAAATTCATGTGATAGTACACCATCTATTTATAGATATCCTCACTGGTTACTTCTGGATGCTCTGACAATTGCTAGTATATATGGAAAAGCTATATGTTTGGAATGAGAAACAGATAAGTGGTAACTATAGAGGTGTTACTATAGGTGCTTGCGGTTTGTCGCATTTCTAGAATTTTGTTGTTTAAGTCTATACTGTGTCTGGTTTTGAGCAAACACGTCTTTTATTTCTGCCTGGTGGATTGTCTATATAAAATAGAGAGCTAATACGACCAGTGGCAGAAATCTTTGCAGAGAGTAGATGGTTGTTAATATTCACTGTGCTCAATGGAGCTTGCTGAAGCAGTTTTGAGTTTATCATACAGCCATTGCCGTATATCAACAGTATTGTCATTGCAGCATGTATTCCCCAGAGGAAGTACGCATGGATATCTTTACCTCTTGCTGCTATAAGGTTTTGGCAGGAAACTAGAATCCAACACAAAGCATGTTCTACAGCATCACCTCCCATGCCTCTCAGGAATCTGAGTGCAGTATAAGGTGGGCAGTACAAGTCTTTTTGCAGTACAGGTGCTGGGTAGTAACTGTTTTCTGTCATCCTGGTTGAATTCCTACTTGTGTATGTGAAATCAGCTTATAAAGATGACTGTTAAAAGATGCCTTCCAGCTTCATTAATCCAACTCCTGCATGTTTTGGGTTTTATCTCTTTATCTTAGCTACAAAATCTGCATTTAACTTCTGTTAAAATTAAAGACCACACAGCTCTGAAAGAGGAGTCAGATTTCATTTTTTTCTGGTGCCCTTAGTTTATCCTTCTGATTAATTTTATTCTGTCTTGTAAAGTAATTTCTGAGCATTGCAAGATTGGATGCAGTAAGGGAGAAAGTATAGATATGGAACCTCTATTGATGCAGGTTTCTCCATCAATTACATTTAAATTCAATAAGGGAATGTATTCCATAAAAACCTTATATTCTCAACAGTAATTAAAGTTGTCAGAATTGTATTTTTTCTTCTATAATGCAGTTTTGTGGTTTTTTGTATATGTAGCTGTATAGCAATATCAGAATTGCATGTCCAGTTTTGGTCATGATTAGGAGGCTAATCTTGTAGAGCTTTACAATGAGAAGTCCCATAGGAATGAACTGCATTGCTCAAGAGTACAAAAACATAGTCATATGTAATTATAAAACCATCTTAAGGAAATTGAAACAATTGTGAACCTTGACAATTCAACACATTTTCTCCTATTAATTCAAAAGCAGTATTTTTCTGCTTTTCCTCAGTTGATTTCTGTAAGTCTCTAAGAGGCTTAATTTTCATCTTATTAAGTGACAGAGAACTACGTGAAGGTCAATGTACAGGCATTCACTCTGTAATGATGTTAGACTTCTTAATGTGTATTATTATAATTTCTATTTTCCACCTATTTGGCATGCTTTGCTAAGCTTTGTGACCATGCTGTTTTTAGACTTAAACATTTATCCATGCTGTTAGAAACCACCAGTCTTTCTAATACAAATCAAGACATATTTGAAAGCCTATCAGCTCTTTTTTTGCTAGAAAGTGGTGTTTTATTCTCTAACTGGATGGTCTATGAAGTGATACTAGTATAGTTTTACATTTTAAAATGTTGATCTCCTGAAAATGGATCTAATATACTATTATTTTAATAGAAACATTTTAATCAATTTGTAATTTTTAATGACTTTTTTTTCTTTTAGGATTGCTGTGAACTGGAATTTGTTATAAACAGTTTTTTAAAACAGTCCTCTGTCGTGGAGGCAAGATAGACAATTTTCTTTTAGCAGATAAAACACCACTTATTAACACAGTTAGAAATAAATTAAATCTAAAGTTGTACCTGACACTTGCAGCTCCAGAGCAGGAAAAGAACTTCCATTTCTCTCATTAGGGAAATGAGTCTAATGACATAAAACCTTTCAATTTACAGGTTAAAAAATTAGTCTGAAAGTCAATGTTTATTTGACCATATATAAAACAAGTCACCATTTGGCTCCTAGTTGTAAATTACTATTTTTTTGAGTTTCATAGAAAATACGAGTGTGACAGCATGAACTACTGCTTGGAGATTGCAGGATAATGAAAACACTACAGGAATATATTTACATATTCTTAAAGAGTAAGTAAAAATAAAACCAGATCTGTCAGCATTTCACCAGTTTTTAGAACATGGAATAAGATTCTGTCCTCACTTGAAAGGCACTACCATCTGGGAAGCCCAACTTTCAGATACAGTGCACTACAGAAAGTACTTTTGCTGAGTTTTCCTACCTGGAGTTGTTTAATTTTGCTGTGGCTGATGTAGAGTCTCCTGGTGGTAAAAGGAATCTCTCTGGGTATCTCTGTAGCTCTGTAGCATTGCACTGACTGGGCAGGGTCACAGCTGCATCTTCTTGGGCAAGTGGTACTTAGACCACTGTGAAAAGAAAAGAAGACGACTAAAAGGTATGATAAATACATCTTCCAAAACAGAAACTCTGACATTGTCTCAGCAACAGGCAGCTTGAATTAAGCACCAAAGCCCTTTTATACCATGAAATCTGATAAAAGGATATTATGACTGTGTGTTTTATCCCAGTGAAAAAACAACAAAAACAATACCGTAATTTGCCTGGGTTAAAATGTTGGCAGGCATTACAAAGACTGAGAAACTTAAACAGTGATAAGGTGCCTTTACATTTGTAGGTATGCGAAATTAGTGTTATTTATTACCTGACATCTAATCTGCAAACATCCATATTATCTCCAGTTTCCTAGTTTTGTTAAATGTGACACCACAGAATTAGTGGAGAAAAGATAAAGAGCTGTTTTATACTGGGGCTGTAAAACCTTTGTCTCTTCTGTGACCCAGTATTAGAAACAGAAAAAACACAACTACAGCCAACACCAAAGCTTTTTCACTCTTCGTCTTGCATTATGCAGATCACACACACACACTTCCCTAGACTCCCCAAACTCAGGCAGCTATTATTTTAAAGTGAAAATGTTCTATTCACTTTTTGAGTATCTGTGGTGCAGCTGAGTGCTGCTGGTTGGACAAAAAACTAAGTCACCTGTATATGGGAAATTCCCATAGATCATAATTTAATTATTCTTATATTTGAAGATTATAAATGTGAAACGCTTGAAAGCGTTTAGTATAAATCAAGTGACAGATATCAATAAGACCTATTTATCCCATGACAGATGGAAAGCACCAAAGTTCCCCTCAGAGTTTTCTTTCTACTTACTGGTGTTTCTTTACATGTCTACTACCTGTGACAGCTGGAAATGTAAAGTTTCGAAAGGCATACAGTTTGAGTTGTGATTATTTTCCTTTGAACTGAGCAATTTACAATGTACAAACTTGTGTCTTTGCAAACCTTTGTATCTTAGTGATCTGCTTTGCACTGTTACCTGCTTCCTTCCATCCTTTCAATCATATCTTCAGTAGTAGCTAATCCTATTCCTTAAATGCAGAACTGGGACACTTATTTTTCCAAGCTGAAGATAATGTCAATTTGATTTGACAAATGGATAACAGAAGTGAGGACAGTCCTTGATGGGAATGCCTATTGGATGCAGCTGGGCTTACACTGGACAGCTGCCATATTCTTTCCTGGAGATAGTTTTGTTTTCTTAATCCTTTATACTGCGAGTACAGAACTGCAACCCAGCATCTGCTAAACCAAAGAGCAAGAGCAGAAACCTTTTCCAAAAGCAGCCTGTCAAATTGGCATGTTTAACAAGCTATGCAGAAAAATCCTACCTGACTTATGCCATAGTGAGCACATAAGCAAAAATGAGTGGATGGAGAATTAGCAATTGTGCATTAAAACAAATATTTTAATGTGTCTCGATCTAGAGTTTGGTACCTGGCTTGTGGTTTTGCCCTTAGAAGAGTCCAAGTGCTCTGACAAAACTGTAAATCCTTTCTGCATCCTGACAGCTACTTGTGTATTTCTTTGATCCCATCTTTCCACTGGCATGGGTTTAAATGCTGATGTCACCTAGACAGTAGTGCTCAGTATACTATGTAGGGATTTGTCTTCCTCAAAAATGTCGTCAGAAAACAATTCCTTTTTGCTCAAGCAGAGTCAAAAGGAATGAAGATCCAATCCTATGGTTTGCAGTTAACAGCTCTAGAGTAACAACATGGTCAGTCTGCAAATCCCTTTAAGTAAGAATCATAGATTACATCCTTCCCTATTTTGTAAATTTTCCTTTAAGGAAGAATCATAGATTGCATCCTTCCCTATTTTGTAAATTTTAAGTCAGTCAGCTAATGTCAGAACTCATAGCTCTAGTTACAAAGTAATGCCACAGTAAGGTGTATTATTTTTGGCCCTTGGCCAAAATTTTTGAGTAATATAATCCTTGGTCTTTTCAAACTAATGAAAGGATACTTTATTGATTTAATAGTTTATTTCCATTATATTAACAACAATGATGTAATCAATAATGATTAAATTTGATGATAAAATTTGAATGATTAAATGATTACAGAAATTATGTATCCATTGATTTCTGATATATGTGTGCTTTTGGCAGCTAGGTAATTTAAAGTGATTTGTATAAAAATAAAGGAATTAAATCAGACTGCTCAAATTACCGTGGTATTACTCTGCTCTCCATTGCTGGCAAAATCCTGGCAAGAATACTCTTGAACAGACTAATACCCGCCATAGCAGAAGGAATTCTACCTGAAAGTCAGTGCAGTTTCAGAGCCAACAGGAGCACCACAGACATGGTATTTGTTCTCAGACAACTGCAAGAGAAGTGTAGGGAACAGAACAAAGGTCTCTATGTAACCTCTGTCGACCTCACCAAGGCTTTCGATACTGTGAGCAGAAAAGGTCTATGGCAGATTTTGGAACGTTTAGGTTGTCCCCCCAAGTTCCTCAAAATGATCATCTCACTCCACGAGGATCAGCATGGCCAAGCCAGATATGGCAATGCACTTTCTGAGCCCTTTCTAATAACTAATGGTGTGAAACAAGGCTGCGTTCTTGCTCCAACCCTATTCACAGTCTTTTTCAGCATGATGCTCCAAAGGGCCACGGCAGACCTCGATGATCAGGATGGTATCTACATTCGATATCGTACTGATGGAAGCCTATTCAACCTAAGGCGACTGAAGGCCCACACCAAGACCTTAAACCATCTTGCCCGGGAGCTGCTTTATGCTGATGACGCTGCCTTTGTTGCCCTCACAGAAGCAGCTCTGCAATGTTTAACATCCTGCTTTGCAGACGCTGCTGAGCTCTTTGGGCTGGAAGTCAGCTTAAAGAAGACAGAAGTTCTCTATCAACCGGCACCTCAGGAAGTCCTTCATCATCCCCATATCACCATTGGCCAGTCAGAGTTCAAATCAGTCCAGCAGTTTAATTACCTAGGTAGCCTCATCTCGGATGGTAAGATTGACGGAGAGATAGACAACAGATTAGCAAAGGCATATAGTGCCTTTGGAAAGCTTCATAAAAGAGTTTGGTGAAATAAACACCTGAAGAAAAGTACCAAGATCAGTGTTTACAGAGCCTTAGTGCTGTCTACTCTCTTATATGGATCCGAATCATGGGTCATCTACCACCACCACTTGCGTCTCCTAGAACGCTTCCATCAGCACTGTCTCCATACAATCCTAAACATCCACTGGTCAGATTATGTGACTAATACATCTGTTCTAGAACAAGCGGCAATCACAAGTATTGAGGCCGTGTTGCTGAGAACACAGCTGCGCTGGCAGGACATGTCTCCAGGATGAAGGATCACTGCCACCCTAAGATCCTGCTTTATGGTGAACTTGTCACCGGCTGCCACAAGAGAGGAGCCCCGAAGAGAAGATACAAGGACTCCCTGAAACATCATCTCAGCCTTGGCCGTATTGATCAACATAACTGATCTGCTCTGGCCTCCAATCAGGAGGCCTGGAGACGCACCATCTGTAACGCTGCTGATGCTTTTGAGAAAGCACACAGGATCACTCTTGAGGAGAAAAGACAATGCAGAAAGAATCGTGCCTTGCAGAATATACCACCTAAGGAGTCTTTCTGCTGCGCCTTTTGCAACCGGACGTGCCTATCTCGTATTGGCCTTTTTAGCCACTAGCACGCTTGTAACAAACGTAGGTAATGCCTTTCCCAAATCTTCGTTCACGAAGCCTAGCCATGAATGAATGAATTTAAAGTGATAGCTATGAAAGGTGATATCCTATTAAACCTACTCTGTACAAATTCTGACACACATCTACTGGCACTGATGACTTTGCTTTTTCATAAAACCATGACCTGTGGGGGTTTTATTGATTTTAGGAGACCTCATGACAACAGAACCAATGAAGAGTCACAGTACTGTATGAGCATAAGCACAACAGGAAGATGTTGTGGAAGCAGCACTGCTGGCCCATGAGTTGCAAAGCTTCAGACTGGTATTTTAAGAAAGTCAATCACTGTGGCCATTTCTTGCAAGCAGTTTTTATGCAAACTCTCCATAGCTTTTGATGGGGATTCCTGTGCAGGACTAATGGCATCATTTCTTTGTCAGAAAGAATGAACGATAGCAACCAAACCTGCTGGCGTGAGAAGTCACGGGGACATCCTACATGGTGTGTGCTTTAATCAAAGGTAAACACTTCAGAGCAGAACCTGCCAAACGCAAAGTCCATATTGGATGTTGTCTTGTTGGCAATTAATACAGATATTGATTAAGTATATTGGATGAATGTGGATAAAACATAAGTGTGAGTTGATGGAAGTTAGATCTTTCAGGGTTGCTGCTTCTATTTCAAATCTGAAGTAGTGCTTATAAAGGACTGTAAAGTTTGTTTGTTTTCCAATTATATCAGTTGGCCTAAAAAAAATACTATATTTTTGTACAAGCCTTACACAAGATAATTACCTCACACAGCACCTGCTGTACTGCTGTATGGGCCTTTTCTTTCTTCACCAAAGTCAGAGGTTTGGCAAAAGCACATGTGTATGTCAAGACATAATTTTTTAACTTAAGATCGCATTCAGAAAATTACATAAAAGACAATATTAAAATTAGAAGAATGAATCTGCAAAATTCTTACTATGGAGTGTTTAGAAATACCTAAGTTAAGGCAGCCTGTAAAACCTGCAGGTGGATCCCTTGTAATGTGCAGGACTTGTAATGTGCACAGACTGCACAAGGGAAGATACAGCCTTATCACAAAAGACATGGAGAAGCTGAGCTCCTGCAGTTGGCATGTTGCTTGCCTATGGAAAGGAAGAACTGCAGGAAAAGACCAGCTTAGGGCCTGCACAGGGCATGGGTAGGAGCTTGGTCCCTGAGGGATATCACAAGCAGAAGGAGTTTGGCAACTAGAAGCTGCTAAGTGATGGCGTATGCTCTAAAGAATCCTTGGCGTATTTAGCTGCCATATGCTATCAAGTGCCTGCCACTGAGTATGTGTGAATTTATAATTATTTTTTGGAGAAGGTTTTTAACTTGGATTTGGA